GCTGGGGACCCGCCCACAGCACAGACCCCCGCACCAGCACCCCACGAACAGCCCCGGGCAGCACTCACCCCCCCGGGCTCTGCTCCCCGCTGGGGCCGCGCCCGCAGACCGGGTCCGCCTCTGGCCCCCGCCCGCCATCCGTGGGCCTGTCCGCTCCGCGCCGCGCGGGCTGGAACCCGCCGCCAAGCCCCGTTCGAATCACCCGCCGCTACAATGGAAGTGACGCAGCAGCTACTTCTCGCGAGCCTTTGAACCGGAACTTTCCCTGAGAGCGCCGGGTTGCGGGGACTCGCTCAGGTCGAACGTCATCAAACTGCATCCTACCCGGAAGAGACGTGGCAACAGCGGACTCAGTCTCAATAGGAGCCTGTGAGTGTCAGGGGGACCCTATGGAGGGGCAAAGCGGGGCTGGGAGCCAGGCCTCCTGGGTTCCCTCCCTGGCACTGGGGAGGGGAGTGGGGACTAGTGGTTAGAGCCTTGGGGGCTCGGAGCCAGGACTCCTGGGTTCTATTCCTGGCACTGGGGAGGGGGCGGTGTCTAGTGGTTAGAGCCGTGGGGGCTGGGAGCCAGGACTTCTGGGTTCTATCCCTGGCACTGGGGAGGGGAGTGGTGTCTAGTGGTTAGAGCCTTGGGGGCTGGGATCCAGGACGTCTGGGTTCTATTCCTGGCACTGGGGAGGAGAGTGGCGTCTAGTGGTTAGGACAGGACTGGGAGCCAGGACTCCTGGGTTCCTCCCTGGAGCCAAGAGGGGAGTGGGGTCTAGTGGGTTAGAGCAGAGGGGGATTGGGAGCCAGGACTCCTGGGTTCTGTTCCAGAACTGGGAGGGGAGTGGGGTTGATCTGGGCTTTGATTTTGCTCAGTATGCTTTCTCTCCTGCTGTGTTATCAGTGAAGCACCATGGGGCTGTGTAAATGCCCCAAAAGGAAAGTCACCAACCTTTTCTGTTTTGAGCACCGGGTGAATGTCTGTGAGAGCTGCCTCGTTGCAAACCATTCTAAGGTAACTGGACACCAGCCCCAGTCTGGCTGCTGAGCAATGGCATCTCAGGGGAATGGGAGTCTTTAGGGCATCAGTTCTAATCTGGCCCCAGTGAGGGGGGACTGGCTGCCTCAGGAGGGTGAGGAATGGGATATGGGGTTTTCCCCTCTTGGACACTGGTTCATATTTGATCCATGGTTGTAAGCAATTGAAAGTCCTCTTTGCTCAACAATCTCCTCCCCTGCCCCAACCTCAGTTCTTGGTTATCAGTCTTCCCCTATCCTGCATCATGACGGTGCATCCTGTTAATATCCAGCAATTGACACCTTCCTCATATTTCCTCTGATCCTTACACAATTCTGTCCAGGGGCCTGCTAGCATGGACCTCATTGGACGTTTCTATCTACAAATGCTAGGGATGTGATTAATTCTCTGCCCGTTGCAGTCTTTAAGTCATAAGTGGACATCTTTCTACAAGAGATACTCCAGCTCAGACACAGGTTATGGGCTTGATGCAGGAATCACTGGAGATTCTGTGATTTGTACTAGGCAAGAGTTCAGACTTGACTAATGTAATGGTCCCCTTAGGCCTTAAAATGTAAAGTCTTTTCTTGTGCTGCCCCTCCAGTTGCAACCCTACTTCACCCATGCCATGGGCTTTCTCTCACTAACTTCCTGTATCTTCCAGTGCATTGTTCAGTCCTATCTCCAGTGGCTTCAGGACAGTGATTACAACCCCAACTGTCGTCTTTGCAACACCCTCCTGTCCACCAAAGATACTGCCCGGCTTGTGTGTTATGGTGAGGTACTTTTAGCCATGGCTTTGGGGGCATTTCAAGAGCTTTGCTTGGTTTTCTTTTCATTAGCAAGTGACAGACGTGGCCGCCAAAGCCTGATTTTTTTTTTAAAAAGGCAATTTAAAACTTGGGTCAGAAAAGTGATTGCCAAAATGGCACCCTGTTTATTCTGTCTTTGTAGCTTCTTCATCAGACCGACTATCTCTAGACACAGATTCCCCCACCCCTTTGCCGCACATAAGAACCAGCTGGCCTCTGAAAGTGGGAATAAAGCCCCTACAATTATGAGAACTGAGTGGATGAATACAATGTCTGTGGCAGAATGGTCTCCTGCTTACTTTCCAGCAGCCTTGCTGCCCTGGGGACTAATGGAAGGGGAGATGTTTGTGAAGTAGATCTGACTAGGGGAGTAAACTGATCTAGACCCTTCACTTAAAGACATTCCATGCTCTTCACCTTTGCAGATCTGTTTCACTGGTCATGTCTCAATGAGATGGCAAACCAGCTCCCAAAGAACACGGCCCCAGCTGGCTACCAGTGTCCCAGCTGCAAGGGTCCGATCTTCCCCCCAGCCAACCTGGTCAGTCCGGTGGCCTCAGTGCTACGAGAGAAACTGTTGACTGTGAACTGGGCTCGGGCCGGGCTTGGGCTGCCACTGGTAAGAGATTACCCATGAGACACTCCGCTTGTTGTGGGGCTCCTCTCTGGGGGTTTTCAAGATGGGAGCCAGGAGGACAGCCAAGCTGGACGGATACTGCTGTTAATGCACCAGCCGGGGATGGGGAACAGAGTATGGGGCCTTTCCCGTCTTGGGGGATGGGGCAGAGGGAACACCAGCTTTGATCTAGCTTCTGGCTTGAGCAGCAACCACTGTCTGGGGTTGGCTGAGTTGATGGGGCAGAGTTTGCTTTGGTGTCTAAGGTCTGACGCAGTTCTCTTCTGCTCTCCTCAGATTGATGAGGCTGATACCATACAAGAGACAGAGTCGCCTGATACCACAGATTACACTGACTGGTCTAGCTTCTCTGGTGAGTGCTGCCGGGTTATGGGTATAGGAATGGCTCCACTGATGCCTGCACAGGGCCCATCTAGCCCCGTATCCACCTCCCCCACCCTCACCACACTGGGGATCAGATCTACGGCCCACCCAGTGATGAGCTGCCAAAATCTTAACAACCGGTTCTCTACCGGGTCTTCGGCGGCGGGTCCTTCACTCGCTCCGGGTCTTCGGCAGCACGTCCTTCAGTGCCACCGAAGACCCGGAGCGAGTGAAAGACCCGCTGCCAAAGTGCCGCCAAAGACTCGGAGCGCCGCCCGGTGAGTACAAGCCCCACATGTTTTTTTTTAGTCATCGCTGCCGGGGCCCCATCAAAACTGTTCGAATCAGGACCCGCACTTCCTAAAGCCGGCCCTGGACATCGGGGTTGCAAAATTGTATCGGGGGCTGGGTAAGGAAGGCTGTGCCTCCCAAAACAGCCTATCTCCCCCCCCCATCCGACCCCCACCCATGTCCTGCCCCC